AGAGAGAGAGAGAGAGAGAGAGGGGAGAGAGAGCAATTTGAGCATTTCAGACTTCGCTCTCGGGGCGTGTTGCAGGTGAAGAAATTGCTCTCGTTCATCAAGGAGGATTGGCAACGATACGAAAACCTGCCAGAGCATCGGATTTTACAGAAATACAGTGTACACGGCAGACTGTTCGTTCTACTTTACGGAGGTACGTCTCTTTTCCTGTCTCGGCAACCTGTAGCATCTGTTTTCGTTGGAAGAAAAATGATTGGAAAATTTCAGGATACCTCTCCATGGCCACCCTGATATTCCTGGCGCTTCCGATGCCAGAAATGATCAAGGACAGCAAGAACCGCAAAAACCTTACGGACCTGCGACTCTTATTTCCAATGGAGTACAACGTTGACCACGGGAAATATTACCATTCGATTATAGCGCACAGCTACTGCATAACCCTGCTAACGGTCATTTCCATCGTCGCAGCGGAATCGTTCTTTATCATAGTTATTCAACATTCCGTAATCTTATTCACTATCATAGGGTAGGTGTGATCTATCGTATAGAAAATAGAGTCCGGTTAACCGAGATATAGACATATACATGTATATCTATAGATTTCAGATGAAAACAGCGCACGTTTTGGACGAGCGAATCCTCTACCGAGGCGACCAGTGGAAAGCTCCGACGGCCACGAAATTCTCCGCGCAAGAAGAAATACTCGTCTATCGAAAAATTGTACGCTCGATCGTGGAGCATAACAGGGCGCTCGAGTAAGTGCGATATCGATCCCGTTTACAATACTCGAAATCAACAACCCCGATACAACTAACGTGTTTCAACGGTTCAGATACGTGTCGCTTGTCCAATCAACATTCTCGACGGCGATATTCTTCCAAATTTTCTTCAACGTCGTCTGCATGAGCGTCAGCGCGGTGGAGGTAAATATTATTCGAATTATATCGTTTATCGTTGAAAATAAGAAAAGAGTTTCGAATAACACAGCAGTTCGATCGAATTTTCCCAGATATTAATGAGCGCGGCGGACTTGGACGTCGTGTTGGGAATGTTGCTCTGGCTGGTGGGCCAGGAAATGCATTTATTCTTCCTCTGCCTTTCTGGACAGAGGATCACCGACTCTTGCGAGAACGTGTACAATGACGCGTAAGGGATCTACAGCAGCTTCTGTTTCTCGAAGCGCGAACAAACCGAATAACATTCTAACGCTTCTTCTTTCATTTCACGATACAACGAATGATGGACTGATTGTTCCAGCATCGAGTGCCTGTGGTATACATTCTTCGCGAAGAGCAAGGTGATTTATCGGTTCTTGATTATGAACATTGCGACGCCTCGCCAACTGGTCGCCATGAAGCTGCTGGTACTGAACATGCAAACCTTCCAAGCGGTTCGTACGAGACGCATCCTTCGAGTAGCCAAACCTGTTGCGAATAAGCCAAATTTCTTCCAACGATTCATCGTGTTATCTCTACCGACACACCACTTTCATCGAATATCGTTAATCTTACAAGTTTGCTCTCGAATGCGCGACACGAGTTCGCATTTCACTTTGATTCCTCCTCTGGAGCAGTTTGCCCCGACATACTCCGCGATGAATAGCTGTGTTGCTATTATCAATTGCAAATCATTCAGCGCAAAACCTTTTTCCAGGTGACGCGTTTGGCCGCATCATATTTCACGGTTCTATCTGCAACGTTATAAGTGTACACCACACCTGCGTACTCTCGCTGCTTCGCAACGGGCCAAGTATCTTCGGTGTAGACATTCCACAATGAGATG